AAATTGTGGGTGAACATGCCAAGGTTTGATTCTGAGAAGAAGGAAGTTGGGGTAAAAAGAAAATATAACGGTAGGGTGGCAAGTGTTCAGAGCAGGAGTTATGCCGAGGTGGTAAAAGGATCTCAAGAGAAGGAGAAGGCAGGGGATCAAAGCAAACAGAGCATGGCAGGCCGTGACAGAGATAGAAGCACTATCAATGAAGCTAAGAAGCATGCAGGGCAGGACTTGCAAAGGAGATACAGTGAAAGAAGGAGTCACGAGCCCCGGCAATCCGGAAGTAGGAGAGTGTGGAAAGAAAAAGGAAAAGGAGACAGCTGGGCTGGTCTGGAGTTCAATAGCAAACCGGAAGAGTGTGTTTGGCTGGAGGGCAGCTACGTTGGAATAGTGCACTCTGTGGAGATGATTCGCAACCTACAAGAAAAATTCTATATGGAGGGGTACTTTTTTTGTCAAATCCGAGCAATGGGTGGCAAAATGGTTCTGTTATCTGGACAGGACAAGGAGGAAGTGAAGGACTTAGTTGAAATGGCATCGGATTGGCTGAGGCGCTGGTTTGAAGAAGTGAGGCCATGGACACCACAGATGACAGCAAAAGAGAGATTTGTGTGGATAAGGTGTCAAGGAGCTCCACTGAATGTCTGGGGAAGTGAATTCTTTTCAACCATGGGTAGTTCATGGGGCAAATTTATTTGCTTGGATGACAGTACAAGCAAGAAGGCGAGGTTTGACATTGTTAGATTTATGATTTCTTCGTTAGTAATGGAGACAATCAACGTAACAAGGGAAATCAAAATAAATGGAAGCTTGTTCAAACTGAAATTCACAGAGGAGGAACACACTAATTGCTTCTTCTCTTTGAAGCAAGATTTTAAGCCTTCCTTTACTAGTGATTCTGAGGATTATGAAACATGGTCCATCGGTTCAGAATCGGAGATGCAGGACGAGGAAGATGGAAGGAGGAAGGAGAAGGCTTCAGCCGGCTGTTCAACCAAAGAAGATGATGACGTAATAGGACGTAAGAGTGATGAAGAAAGAAGAAATGAAGTCCAATCCAGCAAGAAAGTAGGGGAATGTGCAGAAGCCGTTGGGGACAACTTGGAGAATATTCAAATTTCAAATGAATGTGTAAGAAGCAGGCGGTCAAGGAACGTGGCTACAGGTCAGTTGGTGCAGGCCAATATGTCGGTAATTGGAGAATCAAAAACAGAAGATTATTCCAATAAAATGAAGCCCACTGGTTCGGGGTCCAAGCCCACTTCGAAGGGACAAAATCCAATGGCAATGGAATCCACAAATGTGGATATGGCCCAAAAAGAAACTTTAATAGAGAACCCAATTACAATCCAAAACAGAGCCATGTCGAGATCTGGAAAATCTGCAGAAGGGAAGGGCGTTGAAGAAGAAGATGCATTCTGGAAGGGCCATGAAGCAGAGAGAAACCGAATAGAAGAATGGATCGGGAAACAACTAGAGGAGATCAACTCAAAAAATGGAAAAAGGAAGGTCAGAAGGTGCAGCTCGGTGTATTCCCAATCCAGAAATAGAGAGGCGCCGGCGGAAAAAAAAAGAGGAAGAAAGAAGAAGATGACGCAGCAGATAGATGAGAGACCATAACCAATCTTCATGCCGAATTAGGAGGGGAAGGTTGCTGGAGATTCAATAGGGGACAGTGATATTAACAATTGCAACAGGGCGTTGAAGAAACAATGGCAATCCCAACTTGCAAAGGAGATTTGGGACTTGGCGACGCAGCTAGGGGCGGTGGCGGAGGATGACAATGAGGTGATTCAACGTATTGAGGAAATGGAGGACAGAGATCGAAGATCAAAAAGGAGCATGGTAAACCGAGAGGGTGAAGATGGTGGGAAGGTATGTGATGCACCCAATGATTTATATGTCATTTAATATTAGGGGGCTTGGAGGGGTAGGGAAAAAATCACAGATTAGGGAGTTGGTTGTCAAAGAAAAAGTTCAATTTCTAGCAATTCAAGAAACCAAGATGGACGCAGTAGATAGGAAAATGTGTAGATCCTTATGGGGGTCTGAGGATATGGATTGGGTTGCTAAAGCTTCTAATGGAATGTCCGGAGGTTTGATATGTATTTGGGACCCTAAAATGCTGAAGAAGAAAGAGACCTTAGAAGGTGAAAATTATTTAGGGGTGTTTGGACTGTGGGGTATAGAGGAGACACCGGTGTTCATAATAAACATCTATTCTCCGTGTCAATTTGAAAAAAAAAAGGGCTTTATGGGAGGAGCTGCAAAATCTGATTATTAATAGAAGGGGGATGTGGTGCTTAACAGGGGATTTCAACGCTGTAAGGAGGATTGAGGAAAGAGCAGGTTGTAAGGTGGTATCCAATGAAATGAGGGAGTTTGATGCCTTCATCCATAACAGTGATTTGGTTGATTTGCCTTTAATAGGGAGAAAATATACCTGGTATAATTCAAATGGGAATCAAATGAGCAGGATTGATAGATTTCTGTTTTCAGAAGAATGGATATCAAAGTGGAGCGATTTGAAACAGTGGGGGTTGAGGAGGAATGTATCAGATCACTGCCCTATAATGATAAAAAATGAGCAGGTCGACTAGGGTCCAAAACCGTTCAGATTTTTTGATGCTTGGTTGGATCAACCGGGATGTAAGGAGGTGATTAAGAGTGCATGGTGTGACAACGAGGTGGACGGCTGGTATGGATTTAAAATTAAAGAGAAATTGAAAAGAACAAAGAAGGCACTAAAGGAGTGGAGTGGCAAAACCAACAGGGAGATGGATGAAAGAATAAGGAATGCAGAGTTAGTGATTGCTGTTGTTGATGAGAGAGGAGAGCAGCACCAATTGTCAGATAATGACGTAGAGTTGAGGAGGAATAGTTTTATT